CTTCCACAGGGCGCAGTAACAAGCCAGTGAGCCAGAAACGTCTCCTCCCTGCCACCGCGCGCTAACATGTCACAGGACTGAGCTCCGCGCTCGTTCACACCCGCGACCGCGCCGCGCTTCCTCCGCTCGCGGAGCTGTGAAAGGCTGTATATGTACAACGCAATGTGCCCAGTCCCTGCTTTCCCTAAGAAAAGCTCGGGAGAGCACAGCCGGCGTGCAGCCGTGGGTTAGCAGCAACGCGACCGCGGGGCCTGGCACGGGGCAGCCAGGCCAGCCGGCGAGCGGCAGAGACGGGAGTGCGGGAAAGCCGTCTCTGCGCTTATATCGGGGCCCGCAGGAACAGCAACTGTTTCACAAAAGCTCTCGGGGAGGCAGGCGCCGAAAGCTCGTTTCCATTCTTGGTTAAGCAGAAGTTGGCATTTAGATAACCAACTACATTAGTAGATATAAATACGCTAAGTGGCTATATAAATGCTGGGTTTGTACCTATAATTAATTGTCCCCAGAATCAATTTAGCTATGCAAGGAGGGACCTGCCTATTGTGGTGTTTAATGTGATCTAGCCATATCTTATAAATATATAACGTGTGTGTGCATGTCTGATAAAAATATATATAAATTAAAAAAAAAATCTCCCTTTGTAGTTAATATTTTCAGATTGATGGCTTCCAGGTAATTAAAACTATTTAATGGTGCTCTAATGAATACTTATAACAGACCGATATCAATTAAAAAGAAAGATCTTAATCTAATTTTTTGCACGGTTTTGCTTGCTTCAGGCTCTTTATTTTGTTAGCTATCACATTATGCTGTGAGTGAAGCTGCTCTTTGCCCCTGAAGGACTTTGCGTTTACGTGTGTTTAATCTTGTCAGCGGCGCGCGCTTACCTCAGCACCACCGCCTCTGCTACTCTAAGGTCACAAGGCAGCGTTATCTGCAGTTACAAATATGCCAGACTGAGCAGAAAGCAAAACATAAGCAGCCTAGATAACATCTCTGCTTTACAAAGGCTGTTTGTGATGCCTCTGCTTTGACTCAAAACTCCCTGCGCATCGGCTTTTTAGTCACGAGAGCCGTTTTTCAGGGCGGCGCGGCGAGCAGGGGCTGCGCGACAATAAGCCGGCTGCCCGGCTAGGGGCATGTTTGGCTTTGGCTGCCAGTGACTAAAGGCCTTGTGCTTTCAGTAGCCGGCCGGCCGCCGTTCGCATTGTTGCTGCCTGTTGATTTGTCTTCTCTCATTATTCCTTGACATGCGGCTCCCCACCCACGCCCAGGCTAACAACCCTCGCACAAAGCGCACCGGGGTATTAACCAGGTTACAAGTTCAATGGAAAATTACACTAAGTTGGGGCTGTGTGGCAATAGAGCGGGATGGCGTTCGCTCTCCCAAAGAGCTTGTTAACAACGCAGCCGGTCTGCTTTTTTGACACCCTAACAAAACCAATTTTTTTAAGGAAGGAGCGTGTACTTGTGCGCATACGTGTCTGTACGTACTTTACGTCTACACGCCACGGATAGAGACGCCCGCGCGCCTTGCCCCTCCACGTGTACAGTCCCGCTGCCTGGCACAATTCAAACTCCCCACTGGAAACGCTGCTCGATTCGGGAGTTCACGCAGAACGTCCCCCGAAAACCGGCCCAACCAAACAGCCGCCTCCTGCCTCAAACCGCAGTTAGGTGAGG